CGCTTTGACAGTTCCTGAATATTCTATGTATGTACAACACACAGAAGAGGGCAAGACGCAGCCTTCGCGGAGAGCAGTGCCAATGCTGAAAGGCTCAGAATTAACGCCATTTACGGTCACGCGGCACCTGCTATGAGAATATAGTGATTGGATTACCCTTAGCAGCCAGCAATGTATCCGTATTCTCACAGGCATGACCACAGCATGGGATTCGGTGATAGGCTTTTTCTATGTCAGCAAAACACATGTACACCGGGCGGGCGTACTCCCACAATTTCTCAACAGTCTGGCGCAGGGCAAATATATGGTCAGATGTTCTTCTTCCGGGCGGGAAGCCACACTGCTCTTCTTGGATCTTGAGGTCAGCTATTTCACGGCACCTCCTTTCTAACACCTTTGCCTGGGAGGCTCAATAACGTTATGTCCCTATAACTGGAGCATTCCTTGTGGTCTCCCTTCTTGAATACGGCCACAATAATTCCCGTTCTCCAGTCCGCTGGTGTCTTTCCATCAGTCATCGCAGTTTGACAGACACGTGTTAGCCAGCACATGCCCTGTTCGCCTAATGCCTTGAGCATTTCAGGGCGGATTTGATCAATTTCATTAGCCTTTCCATTTTTAAAACTTTTCACAGCTTGTGTAATTTTATCTACAGAAATAGTCATATCCGTTCTTTGCTGTTATACAGGGGAATCTTCCTGCGGTTTCTCGGGGTTCAGGAGTTCTTCAAAGTACTCTCTCCATCGTTGAAGAATGTCATCATTCTTGATAAAAGGGTGTCCAGACCTATGCTTCAAGACTCTGAGATTGCACTTCTTTTCTGCTCAGAGCCGGCTGATGGTCTGCTAGAATGCCTTGTTTGCCGTATGTAAATTCGAGTCCAACGCCTCACCGAATTTCTCCCAGTAAATATCTTTTGGTTTCGCCACTGCTTTCGCTGCCGCCTTGCGTCCCTCGACAGGTCGGCTCTTTATTTCCAAGCAATTTCTTGAATGCTACCTCTTTCTTTTCAACTGGCAATTGTACCTTCCGTTTCCATCAGGAAGATCCTTTCTGACCTCCAAGCGGTATGCCAACCGGATTTAATACGCAGCATTCGGTGACCGCCTCGATTCTGCCGCTATTAAGGTGCTGCCACTCGGTTTGTTGTCGATAATTTATGCAAACAATTTTTGAAAATAAACAAAAACCAGAAATGTACTACCGTCATTAAAAACGGCACATGTTTCAATTAATGAAACTCATACCACAAGCGCTGCTACTCTTTAAAGCAGGAGCAACCGCTACTGATATTCAAAAATCTCTTGCTTATTCCTATATTTTCTGTGTCAACTTCCCCAGGAATTTAAGTAGTGCACTGATACCTGGAGAATATAACTGAACGAAATTTTCCTTAACTCCAGACGACCTTAATACTAACTACATTCTCTACCACTTTCATAGGTGAAGAATGTCCATGATATAAGGATTGTAACCGGGATCTGTTCAAACCGTCGTGCGATGTTGTTTGCAAATTTCGCTCTCATGTCCACGGAAGATAATGTTTCCTATTTGATTCTCTGGTTGCTTCTGCCACCAGACCTTCGTTTGATCCTCCATTTTCAACAGCGTGCCAACAACAAGGTGGTTGATCGGTTGATAGCTTTACGCCTCACTTGACGCGAGCATCCATTACTAAGCGTCTTATATATACCCATGCGATTTTGAAATCGATCATTGACTTATTTGCGCAAGCTTCCATGTACGAGGTGTACTGATGCGATCTTTGATGCTGGAAGAAATTCATAATGGTCATTCCATTGTTTGTTACGCCAATGGGAACTTAAACTCCGCCGTTGCCAGTCCCAGGCCTGGATGAAAAAGCAGGAGGGTTGGAGACGTGGCGAAGTCTCGGAAAAATTTCGCCACCTGTCCTTCTTGGGACTGATGTCACCGAAAATTTTACCGGCTCGATCTTCGCCCATGTTACGAAGGGCCGCGCAGGTTGTTGGCGGACTGAAGCAGACCGCGAATAGTCGGCGATCAGAACCTGCTCATCTCCCTCTGCCAGCCGGGGGCGTG